CTCCACTCCACTAAGTACCATTATAATACTGGTTAGTTGCTACTACAACACTGTATTCTGCTATTCACTGGTGTGAGTGAAGCCACGACACTTCCTCTCAACTTTCTTTTGTTGTAGGAAAATTTGTTCATATAGTAGAAGAGTAAAAAAAATGGAATCGTTGAAATCTGTGCCAGTTGCTGTGTGCGTACTCACCTACTTGTACTCACCTACATGTACTCACCTATATGCACTCACCTACACGTACATGTACTCACCTTCACGTACTCACCTATATGTACTCACCTACATGTAGTCAACTATATATATGCAGATATATGGAGATGTAATATATACAGACTTTGCAAAAGCCTTCGACAAGTGTGACCATGGCGTAATAGCGCACAAAATGCGTGCTAAGGAATAACAGGAAAAGTCGGTCGATGAATCTATAATTTCCTCACTAACAGAACACTGAGAGTAGTCGTCAACAGAGTAAAGTCCGAGGCAGCTACGGTGAAAAGCTACGTTCCACAAGGCACAGTACTCTCTCCCATTTTGTTCCTCATCCTCATATCCGACATAGACAAGGATGTCAGCCACAGCACCGTGTCTTCATTTGCAGATGACACCCGAATCTGCACGACAGTGTCTTCCATTGCAGACACTGCAAGGCTCCAGGCGGACATCAACCAAATCTTTCAGTGGGCTGCAGAAAACAATATGAAGTTCAACGATGAGAAATTTCAATTACTCAGATATGGTAAACACGAGGAAATTAAATCTTCATCAGAGTACAAAACAAATTCTGGCCACAAAATAGAGCGAAACACCAACGTCAAAGACCTGGGAGTGATCATGTCGGAGGATCTCACCTTCAAGGACCATAACATTGTATCAATCGCATCTGCTTGAAAAATGACAGGATGGATAATGAGAACCTTCAAAACTAGGGAGGCCAAGCCCATGATGACACTCTTCAGGTCACTTGTTCTATCTAGGCTGGAATATTGCTGCACGCTAACAGCACCTTTCAAGCCAGGTGAAATTGCTGACCTAGAAAATGTACAGAGAACCTTCACGGCGCGCATAACGGAGATAAAACACCCCAGTTACTGGGAGCGCTTGAGGTTCCTAAACCTGTATTCCCTGGAACGCAGGCGGGAGAGATACATGATTATATACACCCGGAAAATCCTAGAGGGACTAGTACCGAACTTGCACACGAAAATCACTCACTACGAAAGCAAAAGACTTGGCAGACGATGCAACATCCCCCCAATGAAAAGCAGGGGTGTCGCTAGCACGTTAAGAGACCATACAATAAGTGTCAGGGGCCCGAGACTGTTCAACTGCCTCCCAGCATACATAAGGGGGATTACCAACAGACCCCTGGCAGTCTTCAAGCTGGCACTGGACAAGCACCTAAAGTCGGTTCCTGATCAGCCGGGCTGTGACTCGTACGTTGGTTTGCGTGCAGCCAGCAGCAACAGCCTGGTTGATCAGGCTCTGATCCACCAGGAGGCCTGGTCACAGACTGGGCCGCGGGGGCGTTGACCCCCGGAACTCTCTCCAGGTACTCCAGGTAAACATGTACTCACCTATATGTACTCACCTATATGTACTCACCTACATGTACTCACCTATATGTACTTACCTACACGTACTCACCTATATGTACTCACCTACGTGTACTCACCTAATTTTGGTTGTAGGGGTCGATTCACAGCTCCTGGCCCCGCCTCTTCACTGTGTGTGTATGTGTGCACTGAGTTGTACTCAGTGATTTGTATTTGTAGGGTTCCTAGCCTTATGAGCTCGGTCATACTTACTCCTGCTAACATCCCTGTGGCTCACCTGTGTCTCCAGCTTCCTTCTATGACCCCTCGTACATACGCTTCACGTTTCGAGAAAAAAAAATCTGTCCCTGTCTTCTTTGAGTATCTTGTGTGAAGAAGTCAGATCGCTCACAACCCTCGTCTCCTTTAAAGTTGTCAGGTTCATTTCCTTTAGGCTCCCCTTACAACTCAATCCTCAGTTCCAGGACTAAGTATGGGCGCGAGTGTGCGTGTGGGTGAGTGGGCGTGTGGGTGAGTGGGCGTGTGGGTAGTGGGCGTGCACGTGTGTGGGCGTGCAGGCAGGATTTTCACATTCAATTCAATTCAATTCAAAGTTTATTCTCTATAAGGATTACAATGCTGAGTTTACAGAAATTTGGTTATTGTGTGGTTTACATGTAGTAAAATTGTGATTACAGAGTGTACCACTAGAACGCTTAGCATGGCTAGGCATTTCTTGTCCTTGGTTGCGATGCGTGACGAATCCGGAAATTCTTGGACTGACTTTAGCCTTGTGAGGTAATTATTGCTGTATACACTTGCATACACTCTGGTGTCCACTCCAGCCACTCTACATGAGTCACCCCTCACACACACACACACACACACACACACACACACACACACACACACACACACCCCGCAACCTCAACTAGGTGAGAACTATGTATAATATATATATAATATATATATATATTATATATATATATATATATATATATATATATATAATATATAATATATATATTATATTATATTATATATATATATATATACTGCTCCCACACAACATAAGTCACCCCTCGCACACTACACGAGTCACCCCTGACACTAGATAAGTCACCCTGACACTACACAAGTCACCCTGACAGTACATAAGCCATCTCTGACACTACATAAGTCACCCCTGACACTACATAAGTCACCCCTGACACTACACAAGTCACCCTAACACTACATAAGTCATCCCTGACACTACATAAGTCACTCTTGACACTACATAAGTCACCCTGTCAATACATAAATCACCCCTGACTATACAAGTCACCCTGGCACTACCTAAGTCACTCTGACACTATATAAGTCACCTTGACAATACGTAAGTCACCTTGGCACTACATAAGTCACCCCTGACACTACATAAGTCACCCCTGACACTACACAAGTCATCCCTGACACTACATAAGCCATCCCTGACACTACATAAGTCATCCCTGACACTACATAAGCCATCCCTGACACTACATAAGTCATCCCTGACACTACATAAGCCATCCCTGACACTACAAAAGTCATCCCTAACACTACATAAGTCATCCCTGACACTACATAAGTCACCCCTGACACTACATAAGCCATCCCTGACACTACATAAGTCATCCCTAACACTACATAAGCCATCCCTGACACTACATAAGCCATCCCTGACACTACATAAGCCATCCCTGACACTACATAAGTCACCCCTGACACTACATAAGCCATCCCTGACACTACATAAGTCATCCCTAACACTACATAAGCCATCCCTGACACTACATAAGTCACCCCTGACACTACATAAGCCATCCCTGACACTACATAAGCCATCCCTGACACTACATAAGTCATCCCTGACACTACATAAGTCATCCCTGACACTACATAAGCCATCCCTGACACCGGTGGCCTGGTGGCTAAAACTCCCGCTTCACACACGGAGGGCCCGGGTTCGATTCCCGGGTAGAAACATTTCGACACGTTTCCTTACACCTGTTGTCCTGTTCACCTAGCAGCAAATAGGTACCTGGGTGTTTGTCGACTGGTGTGGGTTGCATCCTGGGGGACAAGATTAAGGACCCCAATGGAAATAAGTTAGACAATCCTCGATGACGCACTTACTTTCTTGGGTTATCCTGGGTGGCTAACCCTCCGGGGTTAAAAATCCGAACGAAATCTTATCTTAAATGAGATTGGCCTGGTGGCTAAAGCTCCCGCTTCACACACGGAGGGCCCGGGTTCGATTCCCGGGTAGAAACATTTCGACACGTTTCCCTACACCTGTTGTCCTGTTCACCTAGCAGCAAATAGGTGGGTGTTAGTCGACTGGTGTGGGTCGCATCCTGGGGGACAAAATTGAGGACCACAATGGAAATAAGTTAGACAGTCCTCGATGACGCACTGACTTTCTTGGGTTATCCTGGGTGGCTAACCCTCCGGGGTTAAAAATCCGAACGAAATCTTATCTCTTATCTTACCAAATAGTCGTGAACGCCACCAAAAGCGAAATACTCATATAACTCATTAGTAAATAAGTTTATCTACACACATTTTTAAACAATTCTGGACGAAAACAATTCCTAGTTACGTTTAAGAATTAAGACATATGTGCAGCAGTTAGGTATCTTTATTGTAGATAAATGATTCAGAGAACAGACACGTATCTTTATTGATGAAACATTTCGCCTACACAGTAGGCTTCTTCAGTCAAATACAGAGGCAGCAGTAGTAGTGAAATAAAGATAGTGTAATCAGTCCATCAACCTTGGAGAAAAAGTATTTGAGTCCCTCAGGGAGGTGAAGACTTCACCTTCATGATCTATAACGTTGGTTGGTCAAGTATTTATTCACATGTTGCACATGTGTCTTATTTTCAACTTGTCGGTATTTTATACCATTCCCAACATAAGTTACGCTTACATTATGTGTAAATTACCAAGGAGAAGCCAAAATATGTCACAGTGGCTTATTTCTAATAATGTCCTGCCGATAGTTTACCTGTGTCAGCTTCCTGTAACATGTATTATTGCTAATAAAAACAGAACACATCTGAGTAAAGTGAGAATGAACTGAGTAAATCAGATACTTATTTTTTTTACCTTAGCATAAAAATTCGGTTTAAATAACAGTTACATGGGTATTCACTACACAAAATTTATTCGAATGAAGAGTTACGATGAATATTAAATATATAGAAAGGTAGATATATGTTACAATATATTTGTTATATAGAGAGATAATAAAAGTTTGTACTCGATGGAAATAAGTCACTCTGTCTGACTTTTTTGGGTTATCCTAGGTTCTCTACACACATGCTGCTATGTATGATAATTCTATGTAACTGTATTTGTGTATACCTGAATAAACTTACTTACTTACTTACTTACTTAATGAATTAATTCCTTTATGTGAGAGAGTGTTGCCATCAGTTGGTCACTCAGTTGTTGGTCCCAGACTCAGAAACTTGTAACACCTGTAACACTCCTCTAGCACCTGTAACACTCCTCTAGCACCTGTAACACCCCTCTAGCACCTGTAACACCCCTCTAGCACCTGTAACACTCTTGTAACGCGCTTGTAACACCTGTACGTATAAAAATCAGAGAAATGGTTTTCTTAAACAAAATTTCATTTTACAGCAGTGTTGTACGGTTTTAATAATATTTACATTATTCTTATTTACATTATTTGCAATGTAAATAAGTCAGTTTGACTATTTTTTTTGGCCTATACTAGGTAATTTACACATGTTGATATGTAAGACAAATGCAATTCATCCAGAAATTGTCATTGTACCTAAATATACTTAAAGTGCAGATAATGTTCACTTGACACACTGAGTGCCATGATGCTGGTGAAGAGCTCTTCATCCAGGGAAGTAGAGCTCCCCTTCACTTCCTTGGATCAAACTTAGTACCTCCACTTAACTCACGGGTTTAGCAGTTCCCATTGAACATAAATATATTTACATTTTTCTTGATAAAAAATCTTAATTCATCACTATAGTGTTTATTAAATTTACTTAGGTATACGTACACGTAAGTACAATTATCATATATAGTTTAACATGTGTAAATTACTTAGGATAACCCCCAAAATTAATAAGATATTACAAGGAACCCATTGAAAGTAGGTCACTGACTTTTTGGGTTATCCTGGGTAATTTACACTGATAATTGTACTTTGTGTACCTGTAGCTTTGTATATTGCATATATGAGTAACTAGAAAAACAAATAAATAGGTGTACATATCTGTGTTGTACATTATATACAGCACACTTGATTTTCTATTTCATTGATTAAGTTTTAGATTTTAGATCAGTGATGTTATTATTGGGCTTTCTGTATAACTGTTGTGCTTTAATGCTGGAGATATTGGCAATATACCGACACTTGGTGGAAGAAGAAACAAATGTAGTAGAGTTCTTTATGTAGTGTTTCACCATCACTGGGCTTTATCAAGACCAGTGATGGTGAAACCTGGTTCAGATAAAGGACTCATTATTTGTCTTTCACCCCCTCCCTTAATGCTCATGCAGGGCTCTTGATCCAAAGAATTTTAACTACCCTTCCCCCTTTCTATAGATTGAATCTGACTGCCTTCCATTCCAATGCACTGTGTAAGTGTCAAAGGTTTAGCACTTCCCCATGAATGTATGGTAATAATAATTACTAACAATAACTTATTTATATTTAAAGACTAAAGTGCAGTACCATGGCTGGAACAATTTGCAACTAACCCACAAGGTTGACAAGAGAGAAATAGCATTCTGTCTTCCATTTACTAGTAATTTCTCTTGTGGTAAATCTGTGACCTTTGCTTACTCTTTACAGGACTGGAAATGTCAGGTCTGTTAGCGGCTATATCATGTCGTAGCCCCAAAGTTCCTCTAGGTGCCTTAGATCCCACGCTGTTGTTGGCTCTTCATTCTAGCTGGCTACCAGGCTTAAGAGGTGCTAGTTCAGGGGTATGTTAATTTTTTTTTAATACAATACAATACCTTTGTAGTATACTGTACATTGAAGCACTGTATCTTGAATTTGGACTTCAGAGCTCTGGGAACTTCTGAAGTCTGATAAAATTTTGCCAAACCCTCTATAACCAGAAATTTGGGAAACTTTAGGTATGGTGACTCTACCTAAAGTTAGAAGCCTGAGTAGATCTATAACCCACTATGATAACATAAACATAGATAAGTATGTTTATGGAGCAACTTGCAATGTGAACAGACTGACTGATGTTGTAGTGGCCAGGCTTAGGCTTGGTTACAAGTACTTCTGGCAGTTTGGGAGACACAGATGATTATCAAACTAAATGCAAATTATGTGATCAGGCATATGGTCACTATCTTGAACACTATGTGCTTAATTATCTAATTATTGAGGAATACAGAGATAGTATAATAACCTATGTGACATGTCAAGATATCTTATTAATGAAAATAAGATACCAGATATACTAAGCAAATTTCCTAAATTTGCTTGTAACAGATAAGTGGCCCCTTTTGGGGCCTAGTTCCTAGGCCTTTTGTGTATCCATATGCTCCTGTGCTACCGTCCACAGGATGGATATGGGGTGCGCAATAAACTAGCCACTTTGGTGGCAAAATCTTAAAAAAATCTAATCTCTACCTAAAGAAAGTTATGTATGAAATCCACATTATACAGTGTACAGTGATAGAATAGAATGACACGAAATTTACCAGTAATCGTATATTATTAGGTTAATATTTGAAAATTTTGTATATCTAATTCCTTAAATTAACCTCTTCATAGGTATGGATGCAACTAAGGATCAGTACTGGCACGTTAGGAAGACAATCAAAAAATGCACCACAGCTTCATGGACAACATTTTCAAGATACAAGATCTGCACTTGTTTCAAGTATGTGTAATTAAAATGCTATTTTTGTAAATTTAGATGTACTTTTTGTGGTAAACTCTTAAATGTTTTATCTCCTCCAGGTATACTCCTGTGTAAAATGTAAACATTCTGTACTATCAGAAGCAGATACACATTACAGATCATTTTTATGGTTGTGGGTTAATGAAAGCCATAGTAACAATAACAAGTGTACTCTCCACAGCCCAGCTCAACAACAAACAACAACTACAGTGGGCCCCCGCATAACGATTACCTCCGAATGCGACCAATTATGTAAGTGTATTTATGTAAGTGCGTTTGTACGTGTATGTTTGGGGGTCTGAAATGGACTAATCTACTTCACAATATTCCTTATGGGAATAAATTCGGTCAGTACTGGCACCTGAACATACTTACGGAGTGAAAAAATATCGTTAACCGGGGGTCCACTGTACTACAAAGCTATAAATGAATGAACATTAACAGTTTTTAATCCTCTTACTGCTCCCAACACCTTACATTCCTCCTTTTCCAAATTACCTTATCATCACAATAGGTGGAATGGTTACTATGCAAAGATTAGCTCATCATCCAAACCACTTATAAATCCAACCTATCTGGAGGTTTGACCACTCTTCTGGAACTCCGGAGATATGGAGGGTTTGCATTGTCCTGAAGTGCAACCTTTCCTCTCACGCTGCTGTTGTCCTCATCAAACCTCCCAAGAGGTTCTTCCTGCATACTAACTTGATCCTTAAGTTTATTACCACTATTATCTATAGTGGGCAGTTCCTCTAAACCACTCTTTACAGCTTCTGGTACTGTTGGAATCAGTGTTTGTTCTCCAGTCCTAAACCTTGGCGTGAGTTGATCTATATCCCTTTTCCATATCGTATTACCAAAACCTCTAATTAACACTTTGTAATTCCTAACCCCTCATACCTCCACAGTCTTCCCTTCTACCCAAGGGTCACCTTTTCCAATATTTTTGACATGCACAGCATCATCAACTTAAAATTGCTTTGCCTCTCCCTGAAGTTCACCAGTGGGTATGTTAGACAACGATTTGTTTCCCCTAACATGATGTTTGACAGCTGCTACTGGGACTTTAAAATTCCTATTAAACATTTCTTCTGGTGTTTTAGTAGTGGAGGAATGAACAGTTTTCCTATGGTTATATGAGAAATTGCATGGGTAAATTTTACAGGAAGTGTCCTGAATTAACATTTCACCCCCATAATTGTGAAGAAACTTTGGTACATCAAACAGTTTACATATACTGATATTGATGTACCTCAGAGTCAAGTGGGACTTTAAGGACACCAGGTCACAATAATATCCCTCCTTCATGCCCACCTTCTTAGTTCATGTCTCACACATCTGGACCTTAAATTATTATTAGAACATATAGTTCTTAAAATTATTTGAAAAATTATGCCAGTAACACTGAGAGTTTATATGTGAACTGTATATATTAGATAATAAAAATTACTTGATTTGAGTAATTTGCTTGGGTAATTTTATATAAATATAAATCAATTACTTGATAAAAGTATAAACGTTGTTTGCGGCACCAGCAGCATACACTGGTTGATCAGGCGCTGATCCACAGGAGGCTAGTCACAGACGCCGGGCGTTGACCCCGAAACTCTCTCAGGATTACTCAGCATATTGTGATTTTGGTGTTGTGTATATCATAAAGCCTCCCTTTCAGTAGGCAATTCATATTGGCCAGTATAAATTAACATACCTGTAGCGAGAATTAATACACTGGGAGGTGTACATTACACGTGGTGTGAACTTCATCAATTTCTGACGATACTACGTCTATTACACATTAATTAATACCATTTGAAGATTCGGCTGATTTCCAAATTCCTTGGAAGAGTCAACACTACCTCTCAAGACATCCACCTGGGCAATACACCAGATTCAATTTTCCTTTTATGATCCCTTCCCTGGGGTCCAACAAAGAGCTGAGACGACCAGCATTCAACTTTCCACACCCGTGTCCAACACTGCCCTCTTGCCATCTACACAACCCCCTGTCCTCTCCTACTCGGTTGTAACCACTCGCTCACTTCCTCACAAGTAGTTTGGTAGTTTGTGACTACCATTAATACTTCATCTTTACATTATATTAACACTTTACATACACATTACTAATTATAGGAAAATTATAGCAAATTTTCCAGTTATATAAGAACCTACATAATCTAGCATTAAGAGATGCTTTTGTAAATTTGTGTAATCCTTCCTTCAATGTTCTTACTGCCTCCTCTGCCAGACCATTTGATGATGGATGATATGGGGCTGGAGTAATATGTTCAATACTATTCTTAAGAAAGAATGCTTCAAGGCTTCCAGTATGCAGCATTATCTGACAACTATATCTGGTAACACAAAATTGCAAAAGGATTTCCTCAGTAACTCAGTAGTAACTGTGGATGTCATGGAACTAGTTACTTGCACATCTAAGAATTTTGAAAAGGAATCTATAATTACCAAAAAATATTTGTCCTCAACTGGACCTGTATAGTCTATATGCACTCTAGACCATGGTTTCCCAGTGCTGGGCCAAGATAGGACAGATGAAATTGGCTTAAAATTCTTAAAACACATCAGATAATTCTTTGTCACTTCTGCAATATCTTGGTCCATCTTTGGCCACCAGACCCACTTCCTTGCTTCTGCTTTCATAGCATTGTTACCATTATGACCCATATGTAAATGCTCTAATACCTTACATCTTAATTATACAGGCACTGCCACTCTATTCCTATACAATAATACATCATCATGATACTACGTGCTGCAAAATGCCCTTCTCACACTATACCAATCACTCATTTATCCATACCTCACCTATGCTATTTGTGCTTGGGAATCAACTGCAGCAATACACATAAAGCCAATAATAACTCAACAAAAAGCCGCATAAGAATAATCACTAAATTCCATCCCTGGCAACACACCCCAAACTCTTCATAGATCTAAACTTACTCTCTGTTCAGAACATCCACACTTACTACTGTGCAGTCTACATATACAGGACCTTAAAATCCAATATTAACCTTGACCTAAAATGCTTTCTTGATAGTTGTGACAGGACCCACAAGCATAACACCAGACAAACATCTCTACGACATTCCCCGTGTCCGACTAAACCTTTACAAAAATTCAATGTATGTCAAAGGCCCTAAAATCTGGAACACCCTACCTGAAAACTCTAGAACTGCAGACACATTCATCACCTTCAAAACTACTGTTAGAAAACATCTTATCTCCCTGATACACCCCGTCAACTAACTACATAAAAACCACCTGGTGGTTCACACTTACGCTCACTCACTCACCCATTTGACTATAAGCACAGAAATACGTTTCTTAATCTTAAAATAATGATTCCTAACTAGTCACAAGTTTGCCTGTGATACTCCAATATAGAAATTATGTATTGTGCCAAAACAAAACCATTCACATTGCTAAACTCACAAACTAGTATTTAGTCACTTAGTATTTAGTCAACTTACTCCACAATTTGTAATAATTTAGGGTTAAGAATTAATCTAAGTTTGCCTGAAAGGCCTAGCCATGCTAGGTGTTCCAGTGGCCCCCTCTGTAATTAGTATTTTATTACATGTAAACCACACAATAACCAAAATCTGTAAACCCCGCATTGTAATCCTTATAGAGAATAAACTTGGATTTGATTTGAATAGTCAGATCAGGTTTGACTGAATTATAGTCAGATAAAAGTACACTGTTCTTACACCACCTATATTTAACATTATTACTACTTGGGATAATACAGCATCTATCACAGTTTTTTCTTTGATTTTGTCAAATGAGATATTTTGTAAATCTAGAAACTACTAATCTTACATATTCTGTAGGTGTTCCTGACTCGAAGCTATCATCTTCAATAGGTAATCTACTTAATGCATCTGCAGTAACATTTTCCTTGCCAGCTTTGAATAACAATTCATAATCATACTGAGCTAATAACAGGACCCAATGCTGAATTCTGGCATTTGCATTTACTGGAATGTTTTCCTTTTCCAAACAAACCTAGCACTGGTTTATGATCTGTGCAAGCAATGAACTTTCTCCCTAGCAAAAAATGTCTGAATTTCTTAACAGCAAACACTAAAGCTAGACTTTCTTTATCAAGTTGAGAATAATTCTGTTCTGCTGGAGAAAATTTCTTACTAGCAAAATATACAGGGTTTTTCCTGGCCATTTACTTCCTGGATTGACATACATCCAACACCTACAGAGGAAGCATCAACCTCAATTATTAATGGATGCTCTCCTGCAAAATTAGTCAACAAAGCTGAAAACTCTAAATGGTTTTTTAATCCTTTGAACAGCCTCCTCTTCCACTGAAGACTGCTCAAATGTAGCCCCCTTTTTTAATAAATCATACAATTGTGCCATCCCCACAAAGGACTGAACTTCTCCTACAGACTTAAGTGATGGTAAATGCACAGTAGCCTCCACCTTCTTAGAAGAAGGTTTAATACCTTCCTCTGAAATTTCATACCCCAGATATTTAGTAGATCAGGTTTTCAACACTAACATATTCTTATTCAGTACTACATTATGCTCTTGTAAAATACTCAACACCTGCCTGAATCTATCATGTTCAGATTGTGGTGCCACACATTATGATATCATCCAAATAGGATGCTACCCCTTCCAATTTAACCCTTTGACTGTCACGGCCGTATATATACGTCTTACGAGGTACCGTGTTTGAGGTATATATACTCATAAATTCTAGCAGCTTCAAATCAAGCAGGAGAAAGCTGGTAGGCCCACATGCGAGAGAATGGGTCTGTGTGGTCAGTGTGCACCATATAAAAAAAATCCTGGAGCACGCAGTGCATAATGCCGACTTTGTGGTCTATTTTCGTATAGTATTTATGGTTGTATTCTCGTTTTCTTGGTCTCATTTGATAGAATGGAAAATATATTATAGAAATAGAGGTAATTTTGATTGATTTTACTATAAAAAGAACCTGGAAATGGAGCACAAAGTACCGGAAATGTTTAATTTTTGCCGATGTTCAAAAGTAAACAAATGATGTCCTTGTCCAATAAATGTCCAAATAGCCATTCTAATATGCAGTCATGAATGGGTTGATGTAATTTTTACAATTATTACAGTATTGCAGTAGTCTGCATAACAGTAAATCTTCTATTTTTTGTTTGAATAAAATTTCAAAATAAAAAGCAAGAGTAATATCAGAGGGGCCTGGAGACATGACTGATGAACAAAGAAAATGTTATTTTAGAGCCAGGAATGTCTGCATTGTTCATTCTGGTCCTTATTTTGAAATTGTCATATTTTTTAATTTTCGTGAAATTGGCCAAATTGCAAATTTCTGACCATGTTATTGGGTAGTTGAAATTGGTAAATGGGCAGTTTCTTGTACTCAATCGATAGAAAAAATGTAGTTCTGAAGAAATAGCTATGAGTTTGGTTGACTGGAATAATGGAATTAGCCAATAATAGGGCTCAAAGTGGGCGAAATCGCCGATTTGTAAATATCGCTGAGGTCGCTAACTTCCCAAGAGCGTAATTCCGTCAGTTTTCTATCAAATTTTGTTTTTTTGGTGTCTTTACAATCGGGAAAAGATTCTCTATCATTTCATAAGAAAAAATATTTTTTTTTTTTTTTTTTGAAATTTTGCGACACCAGGAGACACCTCAGGTTTGGGGGTTGCGACAGTCAAGGGGTTAACAAACAATTGGGAAATAAATTTTTGGAACATACCAGATGAGGAAATTCCAAAAGGTAGTCTCTTATATTTAAAAAGTCCCATGCAGGTATTAATTACTAAACATTGTTGGCTTCTCTCATCTACAGGTATTTGTAAATAAGCATCCTTTAACCCTTTGAGGGTTGACAGGCCCTCTCCGAGACTCGTTATCAGGGTCGGCCAAATTAAAAAAAAAAAAAAATATTTTCTTATGAAAAGATAGAGAATCTTTTCCCGATCATAATGACACCAAAAATATGAAATTTGATGGAAAACTTACGGAATTATGCTCTCGCGAAGTTAGCGGTCTCGGAGATGTTTACGGATCGGCAATTTTGCCCATTTTGAGCCCCATTTTCGGCCAGTTCCACTGTACTAGTCGACAAAAAACATGAATATTTCACTAGAACTCCATTTTTTCTATTGAATGAACGCAAGAAACCACCCATTTACCAATTTCAACTATCCAGTACATTGGTCAGAATTTAGCAATTTTGCCAATTTCACACAAATTTCAAAAGATGCCAATTTCCGAATAGGGTCCAGAACAAACAAGAAATACATTCCTGGCACTAAAATGACATTTCCTCTGTTCATTAGTCACGTCTCAAGGCCCCTCTTACATTCTTTTGCTTTCCACTTTGAATTTTTATTCTCACAAAAAATAGAAGATTTACTGTTATGCAGACTACTGCATTAGTGTAAAAAATGGTATGAATCATATTGGCGCACTTGCAAAAGAATATTAGACTCACCAGTTGACGTGTATTGGATGCTTAGCATGATTTGTTTACTTTAGAACTTTGGTAAAAATCGAACATTTCTGCTATTTGAGCTCAATTTCAAGGTACTTTTCATTGTAAAACCAGTCAAAATCATCTCAATTTCTATGATATGCCTTCCATTCTATAAAATGAGACCAAGAAAACTAGAATACAACAATAAATACCATACGAAAATACAGTGCAAAGTCGTTGTTTTATTCCAAAAAAATGGTCAGTTTTTTTTTTTCTCATTATGCACTGTGTGCTGCAGGATTTTTTTTATACCGTGCACACTGACCACATAGACCCATTCTTTCATATGGAGGCCTACCAGCTTTCTCCCACTAGATTTGAGGGCGCTAGAATTTAGGCGTACTAGTACGTCAAAAACCCTGGGTCGTAAGCCGTACTAGTACATCCGAAACCCTCAAAGGGTTAAATCTAATTTTGTAAATATTTTGCCTTTACCCACTACAGACAAAAATTCCTCAATCCTGGGTTAAGGATGTTTTTCACAGTGAATTTGTTGATTTACATATTTAAAATCTCCACATATTCTCATGGACTTAGTCAGCCTTTAACCCTTTGACTGTCGCAAGCCCCTTTCTGAAACTGTCATTCTATGTTGATAAATTTTTGGAAAAAAAAAAAAAGAAATTATTTTTTCTAATGAAATGATAGAGAATCTTTTCCCGATGGTAATGACACCAAAAGTACGAAATTTGGTCGAAAACTCATGGAATTACGCTCCTGTGAAGTTAGCAATCTCGGCGACGTATACGCATCGGCGATTTTGCCGACTTTGAGCCCTGTTTTTGGCTCCAAAGAAATCTTTAGTGGGTTGAAAGGTTCCAACCTTCCCTGTGATGTCACTGCCATGTTTGCTCATGTTGCTGCCGCTGCCGCTGTCGTCGTCGTCGTCGTCATACAATCATCACCACTGCTGCAACATTCTGGGCTGCCAGTACTCCACTACGTTCATCTGCACACAGTGGCTCACTACCCTTGGCTCTGATGATCCCATCCTTGTCGCCACTGTTGTGGTTGTAGGTTAATGAAAGCCAGAGTAATACTAAAAAATGTACTCTCCATGGCTCGGCTCAACAACAACAACAAAGCTATAAATGAATGAACATAACAAACAGAATTTAATCCTCTTACTGCTCCCAACACCTTACATGTTGTTAAATCTAGACAGAGATAATGAAATTTATATTACAGTACTCTACTCCCTAAATAGAACACTCATCTTTGACCATTTATTTCCTTCCCTTTCCCCATTCTCCTTTCCAAACTTATTGCAGCAATTTATTTTATCTATTCTAGGGAATTTGAGATGGCAACACACCAGAAGTGGCAGGGGTGTTGCTGACACCTCCCTGCATTTAGCAGCTAATGAAACTAAAGCTTTAGATGAAGCTGGTAAATTTCAAGTTTTGAATTCTTCTGAGGTTAAAAGGTTATTTACACTTGCAAAACCTGAAAGGTGGACTTTAGCATGTAAGTGGCATACAGTGTAATAGATATTTTGTTGCTCTGAAAATGTGTATATATTGTACTGTATTGTATGCAGTTTAATATGAACATTTAATGTTGTATTGTACTGTTATGCATATGTTTGAGTCTTAATATGATTTGATTTTAGATGCTATTGGACTTCTGACAATATCAAGTACAATAACAATGGCTGTACCCTTTGCTCTTGGTCATGTTATTGACATCATCTACACAACTGATGCACTAGTAATGAAGCAGAACCTGCAGCGCATATGTGTAGCTTTATGTGGTGTCTTTCTGACTGGTGCTGCTGCGAATTTTGGCCGGGTGTACCTCATGAATGTTGCAGGTACTATAAATAATAAGTCAGTAAATTGTTTTGATAGTTTTCAGATAAAAAAAAATAGTTAAAGTATATAGATTTTTTTAAAATTTATTGTCCAGTTACTTTCAGCTGACATCACAGTATACCATATTTTTCAGAGAAAAATTTAATATCTTCAGTTCTTTCCTTTCAGTTACACTTTTACATTTATGGTGATACTTATTGTGTTTTACATTACCTTTCATACTCTTTAACTTATTTTGGTAATGTTTTAATTAGCTATTTGTGTTCACTTCATTCTGATTACTGTACTTATATTGTTACTGAAGCAAAGCTCATTATTATTTAGCTATCTATAATTCTATTAAGGTTTACAGGGGTAATGCATACCATCTCCTTTGATCCCATCCCAGCTGTCTACCACTCTTAACCAAAGTTGTTGCAGTACTGTAATTTATTGGTTTCCAGCTGTGATTGTTTTCCCATTTTCTGAAAAATCTTTTTTTCTCATCCTGATTTAGTGGTTATTATATATATCTTTTCTTCCTATCAACCATTGAATATTACCACCACTTCATTAGCTCCAGTGCTTTCAGATATACCTGATTTATTTCCATTGAAATTCTCCCACCTCTTTAACTTTGTTTTGCATAACACAAGGACATCCAGCTTCTTTATATTCATAAGATTAACAGGCAATTCTTTTTCTGTTTTATAGCTATGCATATTCAAACAGTCCTGCTCTAACATTTTCTTGTCCTTTTAGTAATTGATATAGTGTAGTCATGTGTTCCTTTTGGCAAGGAAGGTAGGTTATCAGGGCAAGCACTGACTCAGCTATTTGATAACAGGGTTTTGTAATGGCAAGGATGCAGTGTTGCTTTATACATGCTCTGTACATGGTTGCTTTATACATCCTTTATATATGCTCTATACATGATTGCTTTATGATATTAGCCCAGCAAACTTGCTTGAACCTTTTTTATCCTTTATTTATAATTCATTATATGCTAGGTGCTGTATATTTAAATACTACTACATTTAACATGAGAAATTTAAGTAGCACTGTATCTTACGTAATAGAATTGATGATCAAATAGTCAAGTGAAGTATTAAAGAGCAATTTTTTTCAGGCCAGCGTATAACACGTACTCTTCGGTCATCCGTTTTTTCTGCCATCATGAGACAAGAGATAGCCTTCTTTGATGTGAATAAAACTGGAGAGCTTATAAACAGACTCTCTGCTGATACAGCTGTTGTCTCTCAATCATTAACTATGAATATCTCTGATGGGCTGAGATCCATAGTCATGGCATCAGCTGGGGTTGGCATGATGGTAAGTGTCACATTGGCAATGTTTGGGGGATAATGGGAGGTCCCTTGATGTTGAAGAGGGGTTCCTGATTCAAAGAATTGCACCTGTTCTCCCTTTCCTTGAATGAAATGTCATTGCCTCCTCCTCAGACACTGTTTAGAGGGTCATCTGAACTGTGATATCAGTGAACTTGGTGTTAAGTACTATATGAAGTTATGTTAATTAGTTGCCAGTATTGATCTGGGTTTCTGATGTTTGTTTACTAGATTAGTTCAGCAAAACATCTAGTAAATTAATTTCGGTAGTTAAGAATGTAGGATCTTTATTTTTAGTGTGCTTGATTAGGCATTTTATTTTGATGCATAATTTGATTTTGTAGCTTGATATTGCTAAGAGGTAATGATTTCTCGTTTTGATTAGCTAATTTATAGTTCTGTGGTAGATTTGCTGAATCTTCTGATCATGCTCTTAAGTGTTACATGGTAGCTTTTATTTCTTTAATGGTTAGACCTTACCTGTATTCATTTTTTAGTATGTTGTGTATAAAATATACCTTAATGAGTGTCTTTTGTCATCTAGTTAAGATTTAAATGGTTATCAGAACACTTGTTTTGCATAGGTTTAAAGTTTTATTAAGAATGTTACATTCTTGTTTTTAACACACTGGCCATCTCCCAATCAGGTTGGGTAAACCAAAATAAAGGAAGCACTCTAACCATCACTTATTCAATAGCTGTCTTGTCAAAATTGCACACATACCATAATTCAAATGACCTGAATTGCAGCTTCTTACATCCCACCTTCAGGGTGCATGCACTGTACTTTCCACATCTAGGACTCAGGTCTAACTTATTAAAAAATTTATTTTAGTGAATTCCTTGTTTAAGCAGGCAAAATATGTTTAAAAAATCTTAATTTCTTAAGTGTTTTTACAGCTCTCTGCCAACAACATAGAATATAATTTTTGTATTATAGCTTGCTGAACTGTTTACTTATAATTAACAAGTGATTATAAAGTAATGAGCTTTTTATGTTAAAAATGTGGATTTTTGACTAGAATTTCATTGTCATGTCTTTCAGTGTTTTTGGGTAAGCCAATTTTTTTATGGGATTTTATAAGGATTTTTGAGAAAAGATTGTTTTCAGTTCTATATGTCAACTGAGCTGGCCATAGTGGGGTTGAGTATTGTCCCTCCAGTGGCCCTTATGGCAGTGTGGTATGGTCGATACGTGAGAAAAATTACAAAAAGTGTGCAGGTGAGGCTCTTGATTCTATTTACCTTTATTAACATAACTGTATCTGGATGATAATTTGGCATGTCAAATGAGAATCTTTGTCAGTTTTATGGAAGATTCTATAATTATTTTTACTTATTTTAGGATTACCTTCATTTGCATAATTGTAAGACTAAAACTTCTTGAAGATGTAGCATTCATCATTATGATGACTGTACGAGATAGGGTTTTTACTTATGCAAAACGAATAAATGAAATAAATATCCATACATATATTCAAAATATTTGTGAAACAGCAAAATCATTACATTTATATTTTGTTACTATGAAAAATGTCAATATATAATGCATTATGGAATTCTTATGTCCATAAGCTTCTAAGGTATGGCTACCTTGTCCTTCGATCCAAGAGAATGTGCAAGAAAGTTATAATGTTAATTTACTTGTGTTACATATTTCCACAATTTCAGGACACCCTTGCCCAGTCAACCCAGGTTGCAGAAGAACGAATTGCCAACATTCGTACGGTGAGATCGTTTGCGCAAGAGCCTCGGGAAGTGAAGAGGTATGACAAAAATATTGACAGTGTGCTTCATATGACATATAAAGAATCTTTTGCAAGAGGAATTTTCTTTGGACTGGTAATTATCAACTTTTCATGTTTTTTCTTTTGTTTATACATATCTGAATGAGTTTTATAATACTGTACACTACAAGTCTTTGATTGCAGCTCTTGCATGTGTGTGATGACCCATTGTGGTTAATTATCTATTTATAGGTAGAAGAGCAGTGCTATACTTATGGTGTCTTATCTACAGTTAGTTTTTTTTTTTTTTTTTTTTATCAAACTGGCCATATCCCACCGAGGCAAGGTGACCTAGTAAAGAAAAACGAAAGTTTCTCTCTTTAAATTTAGTAATATATACAGGAGAAGGAGTTACAAGCCCCTTTCTCCCGGCATTTTAGTTTCTTCTTATGACATGCATGGCTTGCGGAGGAAGACTTCTGTTCCACTTCCCCATGGAGTTTTGTTTCAATCTTTTTTTTTGTTTAACACATTAGCCATTTCCCACTGAGGCAGGGTGACCCAAAAAGAAAGGAAAAACTTTTATCATTTAACACTTTCACCATCACTCATACATGATCACTGTCTTTGCAGAGCACTCAGATACGACAGTTTAGATGTCCCTCCAAACTGCCAATATCTCAAACTCTAGTCCAGCTAACCGGTTTCCCTGAATCCCTTCACAAAATATTACCCTGCTCACACTCCAGCAGCTCGTCAGGTCCCAAAAATCATTCGTCTCCATTCACTCCTATCTAACCTCTCACACATGCCTGCAGCATTTCCAAGCCTCTTAGACACAAAACCTCATTTACCCCCCCCCCCATCCTTTCTTAGGACAATCCGTACCCCTACTCCCCTCCACTACAGATTTATACACCCTCCAAGTCATCCTATTTTGCTCCATCCTCTCTGACCAAACCACCTCAACAACCCCTCTTCAGCCCTCTGAATAATACAGTACTTTTAGTAACTTCACACCTAACTTCCACACTACAAATTCTCTCCACACATTGCCCTTAGACACGTCTCCACTGCTTCCAGCCTCTTTGCTGCAGCATTCACAACCCATGCTTCACACCCATGTAAGTGTTGGTACCACTATACTCTCATACATTCTGTTCCTTGCTTAAATTGGATAACGATTTTTTCTATAGATCCCTCAATACACCACTCGCCTTGTTTCTTTCATTTCTATGATTAACCTCGTCCTTCATAAACCCATCTGCTGACAAGTCTGCTCCCAAATATCTGAACACATTCACTTCTTCCATACTCCATCTTTGCAATGTGATACCCAGTTTTTCTTTACCTAACTTGTTTGATACCCTCATCACCTTACTTTTATCTATGTTCACTTTCAACTTTCCTTACACACCCATTCATTGATACTAACAGTATTGGAAAATTATGTAGGCCAGTTAACTGAGCTTAGTTCTGTAGTGAAGTTACTTAATGATGCCTCATCATTGAGTCGAAAAGAGAACTTATTATGTTTCATTGGTTGCTTACAGACATTTGTTAGGAGGAAAGTTGGGTAGTGGTCAGTAGTGTTGTCCATGATTATCCCCGCTTTAAGGGGGGGCTAGTATATTTGTCCATATGTTGTCAATTATGGTTGCAGTTGTCTCAGTTAATCTTGTTGGTTTTGTAATTGCTGGTAATGAGTAGTGTATTGTTCATATTGCTAATGAAGTTAGGTACATGTTGATCATCTGTCGGGCCAAGGTTGATGTTGAAGTCTCCTGCTAGTAGTTAGTGGTGCTTATTCATTTGTGTATCTGTAATCAGTGTTTTTAGTTTATCACTAAAGGCTGGGATATTAGTATGAGGCATCCTGTATATGGCCCCAATTGCTATAGGGTTATTTAATTTTTTTTACAGAGAAGTTTGCTAATATATATTCTATTTACCATATTCATCATTGTAAGATATGGTGTTGATACATGATAGTTCATTAGAATAATAGATGGCATTACCTCCCCAATTTGTTCTGGCCTGCAGTTGTGGATTTCCATGTATCTTAGTAGTGTGTAGATGTCTGTTGTGTTTTGCTTAAGCCAGGCTTCAATAAGAATAATACAGGAGAAGGTTGTCTTTAATGAATCTAGCAGTGCCAGGAGGTCATCATAGTGTTTACTTAGGGATCTAATATTGTAATTCAAAATTGTAATATTTCTGGCATTGCTGAGGACAGTACTGGCTTCTGTTGTTGTGTAGTAGAGGCAGTTGCTTTCAGTGAAATGTTGACTGGGATTTAGATTATATAGATTCAGTTCAGGGTTCATTTCAGCATTGAGCATTAAAGGTTCTTTTTTTTTTTTTTTTTTTTTTTTTTAACAAGTCGGCCGTCTCCCACCGAGGCAGGGTGACCCAAAAAAGAAAGAAAATCCCCAAAAAGAAAATGCTTTCATCATCATTCAACACTTTCACCACACACACATATAATCACTGTTTTTGCAGAGGTGCTCAGAATACAACAGTTTAGAAGCATATACGTATAAAGATACACAACATATCCCTCCAAACTGCCAATATCCCAAACTCCTCCTTTAAAGTGCAGGCATTGTACTTCCCATTTCCAGGACTCAAGTCCGACTATATGAAAATAACCGGTTTCCCTGAATCCCTTCACTAAATATTACCCTGCTCACACTCCAACAGATCGTCAGGTCCCAAGTACCATTCGTCTCCATTCACTTCTATCTAACACGCTCACGCACGCTTGCTGGAAGTCCAAGCCCCTTGCCCACAAAACCTCCTTTACCCCCTCTCTCCAACCCTTTCGAGGACGACCCCTACCTCGCCTTCCTTCCCCTATAGATTTATATGCTTTCCATGTCATTTTACTTTGATCCATTCTCTCTAAATGACCAAACCACCTCAACAACCCCTCTTCTGCCCTCTGACTAATACTTTTATTAACTCCACACCTTTTCCTAATTTCCACACTCCGAATTTTCTGCATAATAATTACACCACACATTGCCCTTAGACAGGACATCTCCACTGCCTCCAACCGTCTCCTCGCTGCTGCATTTACCACCCAAGCTTCACACCCATATAAGAGTGTTGGTACTACTATACTTTCATACATTCCCTTCTTTGCCTCCATAGATAACGTTTTTTGACTCCACATATACCTCAATGCACCACTCACCTTTTTTCCCTCATCAATTCTATGATTAACCTCATCCTTCATAAATCCATCCGCCGACACGTCAACTCCCAAGTATCTGAAAACATTCACTTCTTCCATACTCCTCCTCCCCAATTTGATATACAATTTTTCTTTATCTAAATCATTTGATACCCTCATCACCTTACTCTTTTCCATGTTCACTTTCAACTTTCTACCTTTACACACATTCCCAAACTCATCTACTAACCTTTGCAATTTTTCTTTAGAATCTCCCATAAGCACAGTATCATCAGCAAAAAGTAACTGTGCTAATTCCCATTTTGAATTTGATTCCCCATAATTTAGTCCCACCCCTCTCCCGAACACCCTAGCATTTACTTCTTTTACAACCCCATCTATAAATATATTAAACAACCATGGTGACATTACACATCCCTTTCTAAGACCTACTTTTACCAGGAAGTAGTCTCCCTCTTCTACACACCCTAACCTGAGCCTCACTATCCTCATAAAAACTCTTAACAGCATTTAGTAACTTACCTATTCCATATACTTGCAACATCTGCCACATTGCTCCCCTATCCACTCTATCATATGCCTTTTCTAAATCCATAAATGCAATAAAAACTTCCCTACCTTTATCTAAATACTGTTCACATATATGCTTCAATGTAAACACTTGATCTACACATCCCCTACCCACTCTGAAACCTCCTTGCTCATCCGCAATCCTACATTCTGTCTTACCTCTAATTCTTTCAGTTATAACCCTACTGTACACTTTTCCTGGTATACTCAATAAACTTATTCCTCTATAATTTTTACAATCTCTTTTGTCCCCTTTCCCTTTATATAAAGGGACTATACATGCTCTCCAAAAATCCCTAGGTACCTTCCCCTCTTTCATACATTTATTAAACAAAAGTACCAACCACTCCAACACTATATCACTCCCTGCTTTTAACATTTCTGTCATGATCCCATCAGTTCCAGCTGCTTTACCCCCTTTCATTCTACGTAATGCCTCGCGTACCTCCCCCACACTTACATTCTGCTCTTCTTCACTCCTAAAAGATGGTATACCTCCCTGACCAGTGCATGAAATTACCGCCTCCCTTTCTTCCTCAATATTTAAAAGTTCCTCAAAATATTCTCGCCATCTACCTAATACCTCCCTCTCCCCATCTACTAACTCCCCTACTTTGTTTTTAACTGACAAATCCATACTTTCCCTAGGCTTTCTTAACTTGTTTAACTCACTCCAAAATTTTTTCTTATTTTCATTAAAATTTCTTGACAGTGCCTCTCCCACTCTATCATCTGCTCTCTTTTTGCACTCTCTCACCACTCTCTTTACCTTTCTTTTACTCTCCATATACTCTGCTCTTCTTATAACACTTCTGCTTTGTAAAAACCTCTCATAAGCTAACTTTTTCTCTTTTATCACACCCTTTACTTCATCATTCCACCAATCACTCCTCTTTCCACCTGCCCCCACCCTCCTATAACCACAAACTTCTGCCCCACATTCTAATACTGCATTTTTAAAACTATTCCAACCCTCTTCAACCCCCCCACTACTCATCTTTGCACTAGCCCACCTTTCTGCCAACAGTCGCTTATATCTCCCCTGAACTTCCTCCTCCCTTAGTTTATACACTTTCACCTCCCTCTTACTTGTTGTTGCCACCTTCCTCTTTTCCCATCTACCTCTTACTCTAACTGTAGCTACAACTAAATAATGATCCGATATATCAGTTGCCCCTCTATAAACATGTACATCCTGGAGCCTACCCATCAACCTTTTATCCACCAATACATAATCTAACAAACTACTTTCATTACGTGCTACATCATACCTTGTATATTTATTTATCCTCTTTTTCATAAAATACGTATTACTTATTACCAAATCTCTTTCTACACATAGCTCA